CTTCAGCAAAGAGGGAAGTGACTCAGGGTACTCCATCAGCATCACAGCATCATCACGCCTGGAAAGACGCTCTGATTTTTCAGGGAAGGCAATAAACACAAAGCCCTGAGGGAATGTAGAAGAGAGGTTCATGTTCAAAGATGAGAAGAGCCCTCAATTCCCAGGATCCTGCCCGAGATCAGCAGACAGTGCTGAGCAGATGGGCTCTTTTTAACAGATTGCCTCAAACAGGGGCCAATCCTTCTTCAGTCATGGACCCCTGAAGTGCTGAATAACATATTAAGTGTTATTAGCTTATAAGGATGACACAGCACCTTAAAGTAAGTCTAATCCTCAAAAGGCAATCGCTAGGTCCAGAAGAATACTTTTAAAGGACACCATCTTTGAAGGAAGATCACAAGTACTGGGAGAAAACAGTGTGGAGAAAATGAGGACCGGAGTTATTTACAGGAGAAATAGCAAGCTATGGACTCTGATACAAAAATAACATTTAATAACAGGAGGAATTCTCTCATCTTATATAAGGGTCAGAAGAGCAATAGTCTCTCGGAATCTTATGGCATATGGAACTACAGTAATGAACGTTATTAAGATGGTAAATGGACTGACCTTTGGCTAATACCACACTGATCTCTCTGACAAGCGCATTCAGATCTTGGAATACAAGCCTCTGTGAGATAGAGACTTTAAAGTGTGGGCTGTTTCTGGGGTGAGTGGAGGTGTATCTAAAGGTAGGTTCCCTGAACACATGAGAAAAGGAAGCGAGTGTTAGAGGAAAGCTATTGAGACACAAATGTGCAGCTCACTTAGAAGAGGAGGAATTAAAGGATTTTAATAAGATCTACTTAATGTATATCACAGAATGGGTCAATCTTGTGTGCACAACAGGCTTCAAAGTCCTCACAAAGACAGAAATATTGCACATGCCTTTGATGGGACTGATGTGCAGAAACAGAGAAGACATCCAGGACAGAGTCCTGGGTTCAGCGGTCCTGCAGGAAGAAAGAAAACCCTACAGATGTTTACAGTCGTCCCCTCCATAACTGGTTTGTGTTTCATGAAACTCCTTTCAGTGCTCATCTCCACCTGCTTTCTGCCTATGTTAGGAGAGGAGCCTGCAGTTTCCCCAGGTCAAGCTGCAGCTCCAATGGGCAACTCTCAAGGTCGAGTATATCCAGAGATCTGTCACCCTTGGAAGCAGGACAGGATCTGAAATGGGTGTACTGATCCCTAGGGAAGAGTTATACCACAAAACTATTGTCTAGAAAAGCAGTACAATGAATTATTTCACTGTTTTGAAATATTTTGCCCCTTTTATGCACCAGAATAAAATCAGGTCACAGCAGGAAGGCAGATCACTCATTCCGAGCTCAGATATGAAGATTGGTATCTTTTAATTTGGATAGAAAAAGAGACCAAAACTCTTTTTCTATGAAGCAATATGGAAAAGCTAATGAATGCAACATGGAAAAGCGAAGATCTAGCTGCTGTGTGTTTAATGCAGCAAGAGCTCCCAACCTGAAGAGACTGACAGCACTGCATAAGAGGTTTCCCATGAAAATATAGATACTGATAGGCTAAAATTTAATAGAGAAAACCAATCCAGTTCAGATCTGCTGGGCTGCAAGTGAAGGGTACATTAAGTCCTTCGCTTTAATGTAAGATTAACTTATTTATGGAAGAATTTAAGTGCTACTTAAAGTACTGAAACCACTGTCTTTGTAGATGGTATTTCAGAAGGTAGCAGAAAGCAACACTTAAGAGATCTGTTGCTCCACTTCCTCACATAATATTATTATTAATAATAATGATAATAATAACAATAATAATGCTGATGCAAAGCAGCAGCCACTCACCTCAGTTTTCACAACTTTATACACCAGCCTGGAGAACTTTAAGAGGAATTACAAAGCAACACGGGCACGCACACAGTGATTTATTGCGTGTCTGGCCTGCCTAGTGGAGCAGAGAACCAGAGAGGCTGGATTGTACACTGCACAATGTTAACTCTCCCAGCCAATAAATACAGTAAATATGAGTACAGCCTGTCCCAGTTTAATGGAAGGATCCTTTGCTACCTGGGTGTGATGATTCAAATCTGGTGGAAATTTCTGTTAAGACTTCTAAGGAGGGATTGTTCTCTTCTGAAAGGAGACAAAAGGACTTTCCACTGCAAAGACCTCCATGAAAACACCTTTGAACAATGACCGTAGCACTGCAGCTTGAGACTGAACATCCCTAGCTGCATGGCTCTGAAGCACTACTTCCACAGAAAGGGTTCCCAGAGCAATTCCATGGGCTTCATCAACCAGGTGAGAAGGTCCTTCTGGAAAACTTTCATTTGGAGGATGCTGAAATCTAGGAAAATTATTGGATTGCTCCTTGAAGAGGACCTTTAATACCAACTGGTTTGGAGTTTCATGGGAATCCGCACTCATGAGCTCGATGTTAAATCAATGGTCAACTTCCAAGCACATGCTTAAGGCTCTCAAAAACCCTTGAGGAGTAATTGTGACATCTCCTTCTTACCCTGTTGGAAAACTGCTTTTTACAGAATGAGGCTGACGAGTGTCTCCAGCAATAATGACACCGTACCCAACCAATGCCTTTGAAATGAACCTTTTGCTTTTAAGAATCACTCCTCTCCCCAGGAGCTACTCGAAATCATTCTGTTCCATGTTTCAGTCAAAAGACTTGAGAAATGCCTCAACCCCGCTGCTCTACACAGATCTCTCAGCTTGTTCCCCTAAGGGGGTTCAACATGCAGAACTTGCTTTTCCTGTGGCCCCCTTATGCGCTTCACAGGAGAAACAGAGACATGAAACCCTTCCTCATTCTCTGGTAAGAATGGAAGTCATGCTCCCCACTGCTCTCGCCCCAGTGCCTGCCTCAAAGACAAACCCTCCACTTTTAAATCAAACTGAAGGAAAAGATATTTGATAATCATGGCCCAGGGAAAGCTCCCACTGAAGCCAGCAGGGACCTTTCCACCAGTTTCAGGAAGAGCTGAAGCAGATTGCTAGCCAACATTAATGAACAGAACAGAAACTCCACATTCTACCTAAATGGGTTTTCTGGGTTTATTATTTCATCTTTTCTAATTTGAGACTAGTATTTTCAGTATAAAGCACACCTAAACTTTCCCTCTTGCTCTACTTGTACACATAATGCAGCCAAGTCAATTGCTTGGCATGCACTTCTCCAGCTAGCCCGGATCTTGGGCTACACGCAGTGCTCCTAGCTTAACCTGGAACTCTCTGAGGGAGATCAGAGACCTGACCTGACACCAGCTATTACACCTGATCTAAGAGGAAACCTTACTTAGCTGCATATCAGTGCCCTAGAAAATTAGAGCAGGGCTGGATGGCTCCATTCAGAGGGTAATTACTAAAGTAGTTTCCTGGGCGAGGGAACTTCCCCTTGAATGACACTCTAATGGCTTATCGCGTCGTTTGACATTAAGATACTGCTAAGATCACTGTCAAGTGAACAAAGTGGAATCCAGTGTTCTGCATAAATGAAACAAATAGAAGTATTTTAACTCTGAAAGTGAACAGCAAATTCAGCCCCTGACCAAGTCCTCCACAACTCACACTGCCCAGTTAAATACTCATCCTCCATTAAATCAGGTGGGCTCCTCCTTCTCAATCACATCATTCCCCTGTAAGCTCTGCTGCTTGCCGACAGCTTCTGCGTAGCTAACACACTGCTTCCATCAACCTGCTTTGTTCAAAGCAACTGAGGTGTCAGGGAAAAATACACAAAAACGAAGCCACCTAAGAAAAATGTTTACTCGTTTACGCTAACATTTAGGTTAAACACAGAAAGATGCCACATTTGTGTCAGAAAAACGAATTTGATTGTTATTACTGGAAAACACACCCCACAGACTGTGTTAATAGTCAAGTCCAAGTGCATGAGTCCTTAAAGAAACACAGTTGGGTGGTCAGGGATGAAATGGGGAAATGATTTTGCTTTAGTTTAGGGAGTTTGGTTTTTTTCTCCCTTTACTCATTTTAGGTTTTAAGCCGAAGCAGATCTTTCTACATCACTTCATCCTGCCATAGAAAGCACTTCTGCAAGCTCAGTATCAGATGCGTGCGCTGCTGGATGAGCAAAATTGACTTTTATTTAAAGCGTGGGACAATGAAATAACACTTCAGATTCATTTCCTTTTATAAATGCTCCTGGTTGGATTTCAAACACCAAGAGAATGTGGGCACAGAGGATTTGAGTTACAGAAACCCCAACATTTTAATTAACTGCTTTATTGCAGACAGGGAATTCAACAACAATTCCCACCAGTATTCAGAAGCCTATTAAAATAATCTCAGTTTTATGCCTAAACTGATTAGTATCTATTTCATAGTGGAACATAAGTGAAGAAATATGACATCTAAATACCACACACACTCCCCCCCAAATTCAAAACTGTGTCTTTGCTTTACCCTCTCAAATTCATATAAGGCTGTTTCTTCCCAAGCCTTTTGTTTGCAGCTGGAACTGAGATGAGCAGTAACCATAGTCTAAATGGGAAGCAGTAGCTGCTTAAGCCCTAGTTTGGTGACTGGAATGGGTTGCCCAGGGAGGTTGTGAATGCTCCCTCCCTGGCAGTGTTCAAGACCAGGTTGGACGAGGCCTTGGGTAATATGGTTTAGAGCGAGGTGTCCCTGCCCATGGCAGGGGGGCTGGAACTTGATGATCTTAAGGTCCTTTCCAACCCTAACTATTCTATGATTCTATGACTTCCAGGTGGGTACCCACACACACTTGGGCTCAGTGGATCCTTCCACAAGCCGTTGTTTCCTCAGGTAGGCCAAACAGAGGCTCTAATTTAGGGATAAGAGGAGACACATCATGAAGTTTGTATCACTTTTCCCCCTCTGCTCCTTTAAAAGCACCCAAATATAACACATTCAATCCTGCAGCGATGCCCCACTCTTCCACACAGAGCCTCGTGTTCCCCTGCACTCATCCACATGGGCTGAAACATTACTGACCTGTATCATGTAGAGCTGCGCGATTCGATACTCGTCCACACTCATGGGCAGAGGAATACGATATTCCTTTATGAGCATTTTGAATACAAAAATCCTTTGTCCGCTCAGAAACACAATCCAGAAGTTTTTAGTAAAGGCTCCTTAAATAATGGCAAGGAAATGCATTGAGGATCCCTGAAACAGAGTGGGGGTGGGGGGGAAGGAGAGAAGCAGTTATTTTCCATCCTTATTGCAGAACATCCTATTAGGACCAAAAAAAAGAGCAAACAAGAGGCAAACATTAATTTCTGTAATAGCTATAAGCTTAACAGCAGACAGGAGAATCCCTGGAGTGCTCCCAGCCCCTTGGTATCAAATTGAGCAGAATCTTTTAGTATAATTCTTATTTGCTTCAGGGGATACCATCAAAGCTATTACCTTCCTGACCTCTGCCACTGTACCAATCAGACTTTCATATGCAATAGCATCTCCATGGAAGAGATGGGACAAAAGCTCAAAATGAATAGGCAGACCTTCTGTTGCCAGACAATGAAGTATCTCTCCAATGTCAGCAACGCACCAGAGTTGCATCCACTCAAAGGTATCAGGTTTTATCTTCTCGCCTTCATTCAGCAGCAAGAAAAGGCAATAATTAGACTTTCTCGGTCCTCAGGAACACCATGATGAATAAAGTAATTTGAATTCTAACAATAAAGACAGCAGAAATGTACTTTTCTTCCCTGCTTTATTCTGGATTATTGTCTTGGTAGGATCCCTTCTCTTTCACCTCCAAAGTATTCCACAGGCAAAACCCTGCTGCCACCGATGTCGATGCCAGACTCATTTTTGCCCTCCCGCTGCATGAGAATACAGCCGAAGATCAAACTGCAACATCAAAAATCCCACCATACCTCAGCTCAAAGCAATTTAATAGAATTATTACTTAAGGATACGGGAAATACAGCATTTACTACACCAACAGTTAAAGCAGTAACTTTGCAAATGTTCTTAAGGCTCCCAATGGGCTGGTGATAAACACAATACAATCATTAAGGAAGGGAGGTAGGGAGGAAGAAGACTGATGAGGAAGAGAGGACACAAGGAGTAAAGCTGTCTACCACCACGCCAAATCAGCCTCAGCAGGATCTGGTGACCTCTCCTGGCACACAAAGTGCTTGCCTGGTTCCTTCTCATTGCCAAAATCTACCTTTGTGCTGTGCCTGCTTATTGGAGCTCTTCAGACACAACTGCTGGAGTGAACACAGCCCCAGACCCTAAGCCTGGGGAAAGGAAAAACAGAATACAACCAACCGACTTAGCTAGCGGATTAAACCATGGTCTGGGAACCAGGAAGCCACTGCTCTCAACAGGACTCAGCACTATTCAGGGTTTCCACAGCACTTCATCAACCTTTAACAAGGTCTGGAGAGGTTAAAACACATGCCCATGGTCACGGACCACCCCTTCTCTGTACCTGCTCCAGCACCTCAATATATCTCTTGTAATGCAGGGCCCACAACTGAACACAGGATTCGAGGTGCCGCCTCACCAGTGCCCAGTACAGGTGGTCAATCACTCCCTTAGTCCTGCTGTAAGGCCGATCCATCCCAGACTGACTCTTCTGGAATAGCAATTGCTCTGGTGCTACATCAATCTATTCTCAAATTCAATTCTCTGTTTCATTTTATGCTGTCAGAACAATCTCCGTGTGAGAGTGGGGGGGTTAAAGAAATTTTGCCATGGTGGGAAGACTGCATTTCCCAACACATGCAGGATTTCCTTCATCAAGCTAATTCTCCACAACAGGTAGAGATAATCTCATTAGGTGGGTTTTAATTAGTGTCATGGCAAAGAACAACAGTAACCACCTGATCTCAAGCACTGGCCCCACATCTGCACTGATACACCAATATGATGCTAGGATCCCAATCCCCGGAGGTAATGGCAGTGGGAGACACAGCCACACATCTTGAGCAGTTCGTTATGCTTTAGAGACCTTTGAAGATTAGATTTAAAAGCTCTGAAAGTGATTTTGCTCCCACCATAAGGACATCAGTCACATCTGCCTTCGCTGCTTGCTAAAAACAGGATATTCCTATCGATTGCAAGAGATGAATAAAACAAAAAATAGAACCTTAAAAGCAACAAAATGGCAGGAAACCAGTATCAAGATGGGAAAAAATGTGTTTATAATGAAGTGCCAGACAGGCAGTAATTCAGACAGCCAAGACACAAGAGGGTTTCTTTTATGACAGGCTCAAAACCCAACCATTTCAGCCCCAAGCAGGCACAGAGCAGTGGGGAAGTGCCTGGCACGCAGAGCTTGTCTGGCCACAGCTGTGGCTCCTGGTCCAGCTTCCTGCTTGGCTTTTAGAGGAGCTGAGGTTTTGCTGTGAAGTTTCCCTTCAGATTTCTACTTCCCTGTGGTCGGTCAATGTTTAAGAGCAGTGTTTTGGCTCAGCCTGCAGGTCTCCAGGAGGAGCAGGTCCTGGTGATGTGCCCATTGGAAAGGTAATGCTCCCAAAAACTCCAAAGGCAGCTGTCCACTACTGCAACCAGGCCCCAAAAGTTGGGTAGAAAACAACCCAGGAAACACACTGGGCAATAGCAAGAACCAAATCACAACCTTAAACCAAAGGGGGCAGCAGGAAAAGGCACCTGGGATCAGCAGCCCTGACCCTGAAGGAGGGACTTTTTAAATTGGACTGGTTAAAAAATCCAATGAGAATCATGATGAACTTGCAGCTTGGGCTGCCATTGAGCTGAAATAACCTGCCCCAACCCTTCCCAGAGCAGTGGAACCCAGCTGGCAAACCATGAAAGATGAACACAGGGTTTCACCACATTCACATCCTAGGGGACACCATGCCAAGCGAGACAGTGACAAAATCACCCCTTCAGACAACTCACTGAGGACAGTGGCCTCCTTCCAGTCTTGGGACTGGAGGGAGGCTCAAAGCTCACTGAGGCTGTTTGCTGTATTGTTCAAACAACACACTGAAGTTTGCCTGCAGACGTGATGGCTGCCATGGAGGGAAGAGAAAGCCTTTCCAAAGCAATGGGGCCATGACACAGCTTTGGAATATGGGTGTCAGAACAGCAGCTGTGGCCCTGGCACTTCCCTGCATCCAGTCCATCGCTACAGGCAGCCAGAGGTGTTTGAACAGGGATACTCGATGTGCTGGGATTAGCAAGCATCCTTTTCAACAGGAGGCTGGAAGTTCAGCTTGGTGCCCTATGGGCTTGCCAAACCCCTGTGGCCACACAACCAGGCCCGGTGGCAGCCCAGGGCTGTTTGCAAACCCCAGTGTGCAGCCGGCTTCTCCCAGCAAGGGGAAAACAATGGTGATGCAGGACATTTCTAGGCTCGCTGCTGTTCCTGCTACAGCCAAGTGGCACATTTGTAGAGGCCGTTATTCAATCCCTGCTCAGGGCTGTAGTAACTGTGAGAGCCAGGCGCAGGATTTTATACCTCAATTATCTCAAAATCAGGTTCTCAAAGCATCATAATTACGCTCCAGAGTCAATATCCTGCTGCGATGAGTCAGGTCCACCTCTGAGCTATTGCTGCAGGCTGTCTGAAGGCACACGCACGATGTGCTGCGTTCACTTCTGATTTCAACCGTTTCCCTCGCAACAACTTTAAGAAAGTGCCTTTTCTTTAAAGTGAGGGAGGATCAGGAGCTGCAGAAACTGAACACACCAAGAGACCCAGACAAGTCTCTCCATGAGCTTGGTGGTTGGCTGGGTTCTCGCTTTGGGAGCATCAGCGCCAGCCTCCCCTGTACCAAACAAGGTAGCAGAGGACTGATGACAACTGACAGCTTGTAATTAACAACTAAGAGTTAAGCATGAAGGGTGTTTAACCTGTGCCACTGGAGTCCTGGAGGTCAAATCCTGGCCAGGCTTCACAGGCTGGCCCAGAAGAGTATTACAGCAACAATCCTGGCTCCTTGACACATCATTTGGGTCCAGTGCAGGAGAACCACTCACACTGGTGGGTTCAGGCTACAGAAGGGCTGTTCCCACCCTGTTCCATGCTGTGCTGTTATAGCTGTCACTTCCACACCTCATTTCTGACCAGCTCACGTTTCCTGTGTCCAGGCTGCTGAGCACAGGCTTTTTAAGGCTCTGAAATGAGCTGTACCACGGCAGCAACAGCCCACCCTGTGTCACAGCTGCTATTTTCCATTTTCAAGAGGGAAAAAAAAAGCCCTAGAAATAGAGAGCAGCTATAATGAGCTTTTTCTAGCCTCACAGGAGGTTCATTTTACACTATTATAAAGTTAAAAGACTCGCCCTAGGAAGGAAAAAAGCCCATCATGGAGGTGGGGCAGAGCAGGCAGCAGCAGAGGCAGGTACCAGCCTCAGGTTTTTATCAACCACTCCCTGTTGAAGGCTCTGCTGCCTTTTGAAGTTGAGGAAAATCTCCCCTATGAAAGATCAAACTCATGAGCTGAAGATCAATACCTTTGGCTCAGCTTTTGAACAACCTTCTTTGCAATATTTGCACATAAGTGAGAAATACAAGATAATTACCAAAAACAACTGCAAGAAAACCGAGTCAAACATGCAATGGCAAAGGATGAGCAAAGGCATTACCTGGAGACCTCACCTACCTCCCTAAAACACTTTCCTTGGGTCCTTTACATCTCCTTTATCCCCCAAGAAGTTGCCTCCTTCAAGAAAGTGCTACCAAAGAGACGTGAGCATTGATCCCAAGTGTATCAAACACTTGGGCTTTGGGAAGCAACTTCAGGCTTAGCAGCCCAGCTGCCTTCCCTCTCCCCTGCAGAGTTCCCTGAAGGCAGATACGGGCCCCCCCACAACTGGAAGCACCGCATACAGAGTGCGCTTGGATTTATTTATGCTATTGGAAGCAGCATCATAAACGTGAAGCAGATCCCTAGGTCCTAAGTCAGCATTTCTAAAGGCAGCCTCGACACTCACACCTTGATTAATGCGGCATTGCTGCTGGCCCAGAAGCCTTGCTCAGCTTCATCTCCCCAGAATATCACTGCTGCAAAGACCATTCCCTTTCTCTGTCACTCAGATCCCATTGTCCACAGTGCCACCAGCTCTCAGGAGAAGCTTTCCATCAGCACCTGCAAAACATCACTGTGAAAGCCTCCTCAGCCCCTGCTCCCCAGCAGTGCCTACCTGACCCTTGGCAAAGGCTGCAGCACACGTAGCCT